TAATATAATATTTTAAAAAATATTATATTGAATAAAATAAAGTATTATAATATTTTATAAAGTACATTATATCCTATGATACTATATTATAATATATTAAATTAAATAATATATTATTAAAATATTATATTATATATATTATTTATATATTATATCAATTATTATATAATGTAGCATACTAATATAATGTTAATTAGTAATTATTGTATAACATATTATATTTTTGTATAAATAAAATAATGTATTATATTATATATTATATTTTTAAAATATTATATTAAATATATTGATCATATATTATATTAATTATTATATAGTATATCATGCTAATATAATATAATATAATACAATATAATAATTAATAATAGTAATTTGTAAGTATAGTACAATATATTATATTTTAATATAAAGTAAAATAATATTTATATTATAATAATATACTAAATAATATACTAAACCAATTGGATAAGTTAATTTAGAAGTAATTAATAGATAAAATTATATTTTAATAAGGTGCCACATCATCAATTATCTCATATGAATTGTCAAATCAAAGGCTTAAATTATCCCATTATCCCACTTTTTCCCACTTTACCCCACTCAAAATATCCCAAAGGGGTAAAATAGTTCCATTGGAACAATTTTCCCACTTGGCCCAAATTTGTCCCAACAAATAACCCCCCTAAGACTCTGTACAACTAGACCACATCCAATACTATTGTATTAACACCATGTATTCTGATCTAAGTGGAAAAATGTGACGCCCCTGGGTTCACACAAGGCTGCAGTCCGAGGTGAAACCAGAAATGTCAAACCTGCCATGCACCACACCGTGCAATAACATGTTTCACCATCACAATTACTATCTCTCTAGTGGAATCATGTAAGACCCCGTAGATTTTGATAATTTATATATATTACTATTAGTGAGAAATAATATTTATTTATGATAAATATCTTTATGATATGGTTACTCATGAAATCTAGCATTTTTGATTTTATGAAGATGTATATATGCATCAGTTATGAGGTTGAGTTTGCAAACTTGCAAATCATAAGCATCAGTGTCGAAGAAACTCAGTTCTCAGCTCATGAGTCAACCCATGACTGTCATGAGTCGACTTATGATATCATCTCCCATTGTCATAAGTCTCTGCTGAGTCGACTCATTATATTATGAGTCGACCCATGAGTCATGAGTCGACCCATGACTTTCATGAGTCGACTCATCGGGGTTTTTCTGGTTTTTCTGGGTCGGGTTTGTTTGGGTTTCAAGTCGGGTTTTAGCCACTCATATATGTTTCCCTCCACCCGAAAACACTCTTGTTCATCAGAAAACCCTAGAGAAACCCTAGCCTCCACTCCCCCTCTAAACCCTAGCTCGTTTTTGGGATTTATTGGGCGATTTTTGGGGATTTTCAGCGGCTTTTCGTGGATTGCAGCGAAGGGGATTGTTCATCATCACTTCTAAGGCGAGTAACATCTCGCACAACCCTTCTCCCATGTTTTTAATAGTTTATAACTGTTTTCCATAAGTTTTATTGAGCCTAAGACTTATTTTCAAGTATAAGTCAATATCCTTGTTAGGGTTAATGCTAGAAATCATGTATTTCGGATTTTAAATCCCCACCAACAAGTTTTTCATGAAAACCCAGATCTGGAATTTTATTTAAAGAATAAAAATATGAGTTTTATTTTGATTAAATGCTTTCTTTCATGTATAGGAGTTAAATGTTAGATTTTAACCTACCGGAAAATCGTTTCTCTTGATAAATATATTTTTCTCACTGTATCATAGTCAAGAATCAATGACTATAGAAGTGTAGATCATTAAAAATGGAAGTGTGGATCGTTTGAAACAAGTTATAGTTGGGAGAAATGCTTTGTTCAGCCTGTGAGTCGACCCACGGCTCATCAGGAGTCGACTCAACAGGTTGAGTCGACTCATGACTGTCATGAGTCGACTCACGAAGTCTAGTTGTGTTGCCTTTTTGTTTCTGCTGAGTTGACTCGTCAGTATACGAGTTGACCCATAAGTCATGAGTCGACCCATGACTGTCATGAGTCGACTCATGAAGCCCTTTCCTGCTATTATATGTGTTCTGCTGAGTCGACTCATATTTGAGCACGAGTCGACTCATCGTAGTATTTTTTTCTTTTTGTTTCGTTCGTGCTTCTGTTTAAATCATCTACTGTATATATATACATAAGTATGTATGTATACAGTGTTTACATATTCAAGGGTACTATCTACCATGTTTGGACTTAAGGAGTGCCTGGTTTATTGAGTATTTATCTGCAGTGAATATGATTTCACCTATACATGTGAGATGACCTTTCGGACACAAGTTTAAGTTAGTACAGTAGGGTAAGTACGGGAATATGGCATGCATACTTTCTTATACTCAGTCCTCGTGTTGGACAAGCATTACCTTTTAGTCCTCGTGTTGGACACCCTTCCCACTTAGTCCTCGTGTTGGACATGCATTGCTATTTAATCCTCGTGCTGGATATGCATTACCATCCGGTCCATGCGTTGGACAACGGTCACATCCGGTCCATGCGTTGGACAACGGTCACATCCGGTCCATGCGTTGGACAACGGTTATATTCAGTCCATGCGTTAGACAACGGTTATATTCAGTCCATGAGTTGGACATTTACTTCATATAGTCTATGTTTGGACAACGGGTTGGACGTTTAATTTATATAGTCTATGTTTTGGACACTTGATCGTTTTCTGACATGTCACTCATGTGAGTTTGACATGACACTATGTTTGGAAGTAGAGATGTGTTTTGTTTTTTTTAATTTATTCATTTATGTATTAGACTTT